GCTGAGAGAAATGGTAAAAAAGGTCAAAGAATAAGAGAAGATTTTTATCACCCTTAGCGTTCTTGTTAAGAAGATAAGAAAACAATGATGAGTTTTATTTGTGAAAAACAAATCAAATCAAAATGGTTATTTATAGAGAGAATATGAAAGTTTCATACGTTGAACATGAAAATAATACCAAAATAAATACATTTGTTAAACATTGAATATTTGAATACATGAATAAAATCGATGATCATAAAAAATAAGACATATACATTCTCCCGAAAAATATATTTATATATAAAACAAAATTTAATAGGATTGATTTTAAATTTATAAAAAATCTAAAAATTTGATGGATGAATTACGTATTCTCCCATTATTTTATGAATATCTTTAATGTCTTATATTAATTATTTTGGAATAAGAATGAGTTTATTTTTTTGCAGTAATTATAAATATATTAGCGAATAAATTGGAAAAGAAAATTAATGAATGTATTTAAATAAGAGTGATGACTTGACGTATTCCTCTCATGAATGAAATTGATTACTTAATTTTTAACTTTTGATATTCTCTATAATAGGACACGTGTCATGCCCGTGAGAATAAACTCTACTTTTATATATATAGATAGATATCCAAAGATATGATAAATTGTAAACAATCTAATGTAAATAGCTAAAAAAATAAAAATTATCTTAAATATAAATATAAATAATATAAAGGTATAATAGCGTTATCTTTTCATAACTCAAGGTTTGATTACAAAAGTCCAACAATTAATTAAAAGAACATAGGCGTTTAAGCAAATGTTTGAAAAGAAAGGCACAATAATAAATCACTTGTAGTGCCACCACACTCTCAATGTAATGTATTTTCCTATTTCTCATAACATTCACATTAGACCTTCCTTTTATTTTATTTTGTTTTATTATTCTCCTTCAACACAGCTAATACTTTTAGTGACCCTAATAAGCACAAATTACTATTGATACAAAGATTAAATTGACCAATAGTATCATTATGGATATGACAAGTGAGCCAATGGTCATTTCCCGCCAAGGCCAGGCCTTTAAAATATAACACAAACAAAAAATCACAAATTTCTCTCAAATTTGCTTGGGAAGGTAGCTGAATGCTTCTTCACTAGCTTGTATGGTGTGCCCATTTCACCAGTCTGTTGCTTCCGGTTTATCAACTACACACTCAATATAGCCAAAGATGTATATTACATAGCTGAAAGTTATGAACTTTCATTGGAATTTGCTTTAGGAGACTAGAAGTCTTGCTTCTCACCTGAAATATGATCACTCAAGATATCAGAGAGGATGTAACTAGACGAAGCTCGGTTGAGAGTTTTGTCTTTCGAACATTACCTGATCCTGTTCTTGAATAGAAACTCCACGTTTCTTGGATCGGAATTGCTTCTCCTAGCTGTGATCTTGAGCACTGCACCATCTGCAAGCATTCGTTGAAGCACCCTTGTGATGTTCTTCGTGTCATCGATGCCCAAATGGTGACTTCCCATTAGCCGGATTTCACGTTGCCTCATCATTGTCACCATTCCTCGGGCCTGTCACCCGTTAGAATGAATCTCAAATTGACGAGGATGATGGATTTTCACAGAAAAGGGTGGCTTCTTAAGGCGGTGTTGATATCCAGCTTACCTCTTGGCCGTAGAAATTGAGGTAGACGTCCTTGAGATTGATCCACTCCGTAAAATATGGTGGAAGCTTGATGTTTGACACTTTGCATTGCTCGGGAATCTTTGTCTTCAGATCCCAATTCCCACTGAGAACATTAAGAAACCACAGGTCTAAAGCACTAATACTGAATCAGCATCCCAAGATAGACAATAGCTATAAAGAACCGATTTCAGAACCCAGAAACAGTATCCACTCTCTTAATTCATATGCATTGGATTTATAGCAAGTTTGCTTACATTTTGAGGCAAATTCTCAGTTTCAGATGTGCAAGAAGAATTGTCAAAACCTAGAGGATACAATGCTTTTGCCCGATATAAGGTTCCATTTCCATAGATGAGACCCGAGAAATTAGCACATATCACGAAATATTATATAATTCTCACCAGGTTACGAAAGCTGCATCATTCAGAACCCCACCAGACTCCTCGCCCCACAAGTTATGTCCGGCTAACCAAGCCTCAAACTGCTCAAGAACTTGGTTAAATGGTAGAGCCGTGTCATGCCACACCCTGCAAACAACTTTGCTAATCTTGAGGTGAAAGAAAAGAGAAGCGTATAAAGAAGTCCACAAACTTTGAAATCACTTTTTCAGCATTACCAAATCATATATTACCTAAAAGATAGTCCACGCATAAGGTAATTGATTTGGTCAAGTTTGGCTGTAGTATCCAGTACGGTAACCATAAAGGATAAGGGTCTCAAAATAATGGAAATGATCAAGTACACAACGACATTGCTTACGACTTACGAGAAAAGAAGACATAACTCTCTAAATCTTCTGCTACAACTATGCTCAGAAATGGGATAGAAGTAGAGCGTACCGGTCAACACCCAGTTTTCCATACTTGCCTTCGATGTATCTGTTTATTGCCTGCTCGCTCATTTTGGTGGGTCTTACAAACCGGTGGAACAAGCCCACAACCTCCATGGTCTTGGCATCTACCATGAGAACAGGGAACTCGAGAATTTCAACTTTGCCCTCCAAGTCGAGCACCAAGAAAAAGTTGAATTCTTGCGAGCTCTTCCGCTCGAGATCAGCAGCACTCACTCGAAGCTCTCGTGAACAATCATGGTTGAAGATCTCCAGATGAGCAGGATCATCCACCTGAACTAACCAACAAACAAAACCAGGTTCATACCAAAAAAAAAAAACAAACAAAACCAGGAAATATTCGCACATTTCAATTATTGCGGCAAATGAAAACAGAAATCAGAACGACCCATACACAAAATGGACAAAGAAAACGCGATCTCATCTCCCGTTCAGACATTCCATCGAACAGCTTGCGAACAGTACACAACCGAGCAAAGTTCTCACCATAAAATATGTTCGACGCGACAAAAGGCATTGCCATAAAAAAATATTAAAAAAACAAGCGAGACCAGGAATTTAGCTTTGTCGGAGCAAAAAACAAGGAAGAAGAAGAAGAAGTAGGTTCACCTTTGTGCACTTCCCTTGAGTATAATACAAGCACATCGGCCTCCACCTAGTATTTCCAACTGTCTCCATGATGAAAGAAGAAGACGACGGTGGCGAAGAAGAAGAAGACGGGACGGGATGAGAATGCTTCTGAGAAGTAGAAGAGATGCTGCAGAGAGTTCGACGGGCACGGCACAATTCGAACGGCAAAAAAGGAGGGCGATGTCCAACGCGGAAAGTAGACAACTTGGAGATCGAAACCCTAACGAAAGAGCAAGCCGACGCCATTGCAGGGGAAGCAAGAGCGTTTTTGGCGGGGGAACGATACGGATATAGATGACATCCCAAAAGGAAAAACAATGGAACTGGTTTGATGCAAAGAGAACCAAAACCGGACCTAACTGAACCGGTTAAGCCCGGTTCATTGGTTATTTCATGCACGCTTTTAAAAAACTGCTCTAGCCTAATTGTAATTTTTGTGACACAATCCTACAAAAAACTGCATGACCACCATCTCCTAGATGCATATTCATAAGAACATTAGGGTAAAGATATCAATAAAACATATGATATAGATGAATATTCATAAGAACATTATGAATATTCATAATGCCATTGGAATGGCAAGAACCCTTGTTTGCTTACACCAAGTGTGTTCCTCCTATGCAAAGGCATGAGAGTTCTTTGATCTAATCTTAACCTAATCTTCATCAACAAATTCTGTAAAGTCTTCAATCACTTCAGTCCGACAAGATTCTTTATTCATCGCCGAACGCATCTCTTCGATTTCAAACTTCAACATCGGGTCGCAAATCACTTTGTCCTTCTTCAATAGCTTTGGACAACCTGCAGATCCAAGTGAAATCAACACCAATGGAGCAATGGAACCTGAATGCAATGCTGAATTCAAGCTCAGTTCTATGCCGGCTGAGACAAAAGACTTTGTATTTGTTCTTATTATATTTCAGATTGTTGAACAGAAAATGTTATACCTGCTACAGGACACCTAGCATTACCAGTCCTGGATATGTAACCCATGACTGCTGCTTTGTCATATATGTGCTTGCATTCCATACTGCAACACACAAAGCCAAGAATGTAGGCAAATTATGGTATTTGTTTGACGAAAAATCAAGCCGAAACAACACGTTCTACAGAATCCAAGCCCATTGTTGTAAAGCCTAGCAATGGCTATATGGATCATCACCCTTAAACATAGACAGTGAGATTAGTGGCGAGGAAGCAAAATGCTATTGACAGAACCTGAACTCCACAGTCCACAGTACCTGCGAACTGGATCAGCTAGTTCAACCACTGGTTTCCCAGTCAACGGGCATGTAATGTTCAGGAGAAGACACTGAGTACTGGTCATTACAATGTCTTCTTGGTCGTCACCGGGCATTGGTTGTTCTTTGTGATGAACGTTCTGCAGAGAAGTATTGACAAGAATCAAAGATTATATTAAGAGCTAAGAACAATCACTTGACCAGTATTGTTGCAAGAACAAGTTGCAAAAGTAGTGGCTAAATCAGAGAGTAGAGAAATGGCACGACTGAGTGCAAAGTTTCCCTGGATGGGTACCCATACTTGAGTTACAAACAACACCTACTCTATACATATGCACCCAAATGTTGATGCCACAGCTTCTGAACTTCGAAAAAAACTATAGCAGTGTTCCCACCCACCATCTCAATTATTTATGACTTATCCTCACTAGTATTCCCAACCAATCACGGCATTTCAGAACATAAATCACCTGCTACATTCAAGCTAAGAACTTCATATATTAAGAATTTCACATAGAACACACCCAGACTGCTTCCCTGAACTGGCGCATCAAATTATCAGTTTGTGACACTGAAGATGCCGTCTCCTTGAGCTTCGTGAATTCATTCTCAAGCAACTTCTTAAAATCAGTTACCTGCAGTCCTTAGAGTGAGTCAGAAATCAGTCTCCAAAAAGTAAGTAGTAAGCAGAAGAGCATCATACATCAAGACAACATGGAAGTAGAAAACGAGTACCTGATCCCCAGGCTGGTATGCATTTGCAACCGATTGAATGGCTGAAGAATGATGAGCACAATCACCAAATAAGTCCAACAGCTCAGCAGCAGCGTTTTCCAGATCTTTAACCTGTGGAAACAAAAATAATTAAAATGAACAACAAGTGCCGGGAAACTACATGGAGGAAAGTATCAAACATCAAGGAAGATTGAATGAAGCTTGAGGGAACAATACCCTGAAAGGAAAAAGAACATTATATCAAGCAAAATACAAAGTCATACAACCCAAAACGAAATGAAAATAACAGTGTTCAAGTATAGCTATTCAATCGGCAACCAACTATCAGGTGAACATCAAAGCAGTTCCCGCAAGTAAGAGAGACCATACTTAGAATTAGCACATAGGAAAACTTTAGGAGAGAAAACAACACTAAATGCAAACTCTTAAAGCAACAATCAAAGGGATTAAATGGTCAGAACTGCATTGATACTAAAAACACTTGTTTCCAATTTCAAAAAGAATACAAGGTTGTTCTAGAAAACAAAAAGTTGATAAAATGATAAACTCACCATGTCAGTCTGATTCTCTCTCTCCAAATCAACGGCTATATTTTTCATCATATTCACAGCTTTGCGAATTTCCTGACAAAGAAAGCAAAACAAGAATACTACGATTTAGAGGACAGAAACAAAGTAGAAAGAAAAAAACAGCAAGTCTTTAACTTGAATTCATGGTCCAATCCGAAACCGAATCCCAGCATTCTTCAAGAAAATACAAAAGCCTCAAGACTCTATTAAGTGATTCACCAGAACTTTTCAGTACCATATCAATTTAAATTTACAAGCCAAAACCTTTCATTAGTATATGAAGAATCGAGATACTTCTCTTCCTGTTAGCAAAAACGCATATCCGCAAATATCTCGGCTCAAACGGATTAACATAGATTAGTTCGAGAGAGCTCAAGAATCTAATAAATTTTCATTGCTCAAATTCAGACAGCATTGTGCACTTCTAAACCCTTCAACTAGTGCTCTCAAGCGAGGGATTCAAGGCCCAAAAACCTATATTCCAATTTTCAAATCTCGCGGAGACCAAAATCTAAACTTCTTCAAGTTGTCAAAATCAAGGAAACCGCGCGGATTTTCACATTCGGCCATCTAAAGAAAGAGAGAGAGAATACTGTGTCGGAAGGAAAGAACTTACAACGATCAGGGACTGATTGTCGGAGACCAGAGCCAATGCAGCGTTCCGAATCCGCCCGGAGCAGCCGTCGGAGGTGGATGCCGACGCCATCGTTCTACGTGTTTTGTCCTAAGGTTAAATGGGAGACAACAAGAACAACCGTTTTTCCGGTGAGAATCTGCGACTGTATCGGCCTGCGAGTGGATAGAGAAGAGCTGAGAAATCGCGAGGGTGAGCTTAGCCCTAGGGTTTGTGCGAGGGATTATTTGAATCAGTCGGTTCCAGCCATTTTTTACTTGGAGATAATTTTTATAAAAACCTGTGAATTTGTTATGTTTTTTTTTAAACCCTTCGCATCCCGTGGTAATTTTTTTATAAAAGTTTAGCTATTTATAGATTATTTTTCCAAAAATAAACATTTTTTTTTTCATGAAAATCAAGTGTGATGATAACTCCTCCATTAGCTAAGAAGAAGAAGAAGAAAAAATCAAACAGAAGGTGGAAACAAGAGAACTAAACCAATGAAAAATCAAAATTGAACAGAGTTTAATCACCAGTAACCACCACAAGAGCACTGGCCTTGCTTGAAATGGTGGAACTTGCTGGCATCTCTAACCACAATCTCTCTTCCGCTCACCAAAGACGCGAACTGCACCGTCTTATGGCAGTCATTGCACATCCTGTGGCTCTGAGTGATCTGTAATGGTTTCCAGTTGGGCGTGTTGATCAACCCGTAGGCTAACGCCAGTTTCTCGCTGTGATATCTCAGGACCCGTTCTTCGTTCTCCTCCACATCCGGGAGAAGGGTTTCCTCTCCCTCCGGTAAACACCCGTTTTCACGAATTTCTTCCATTAGATCATCGGATTTCTGGTATATTTGCCTGAAACATAGTTTAGGAAACCAGCTTGTTGTTCGGTAACAAGTAAGATAGACCGATAATGGTTCCGGGAGATCCATCGTCTGAATTTTAGACATGGACGAGAAACAGTGCAATGGGAATACCTTTTCACCGTCTCACCATATGTATCACACTTGTCTCCCGAAAGAAAACAGTGCGTCTGATCTCTGACCTCGACCCAACTACAAGCCGGCATAATTCTCAAACCTTTGTCCCTCAGTGTCTTCAGAACTCCTGTGGCTTCCTCTCTCTTGCCCATACTGTTGTATAAGTTAAATAGTACAACGTAATTTCCGAGCTTCTCAGGTTCCATTCCATATAGTTTTTCGGCAGCCAATTTGCCGAGCTCCATGTTCCCGTGTGCTCTACACGCATCTAACAGCGCAGCCCACATATTAGCCGTGGCTTTGAAAGGGGTCCTTCTGATCAAAGCAAAGGCTTCATCTAACAAACCTTCTCTACCCAGCAGCTCTATCATGCAAGCATAGTGCATTGCCCTAGGTTTGATCTTATGATCCCCAGTCATTGATTGAAAAATATCCCAACCAAGTTCTAATAAGCTTGAATTGGCACAAGCCGATAAAACTGCAAGGAATGTAACGTGGTTTGGAGCTACTTTTTCGGTATTCATTTTCTCAAACAATCTGACAGCTTCGGCTCCTCTACCATGATGTGCATATCCGAACATCAAAGTATTCCATGAAATTAGATTCTTGTATGGCATCTTATCAAAAACATTTCTTGCAGCATCTACTCTACCCCATTTGCTATAAAAATCCACAAGAGTCGAGTTTAGCACCAAATCTGATCCAAAACCACGACGAATTATGCTTGCGTGAGCTTGCTTAGTGAGCTCAAGCTTGGCCAACCTCGTACAAATTCCCACCACTATGGAAAATGTAAAGTGATCCATACAGGCGCCAGAATCCTGCATCTCATACAACAAACACAGAGCTTCTTCACTGTAACCATGGAGAAGGTACCCTTTTATAAGGTTGTTCCAAGCAACTGTAGCTTTCTCGGGCATATCATCGAAAACGGATTGAGCATCCTCAATGCACCCGCACTTACCATACATATCGATCAATGCGCATGAGACAAAAGTATCATCACCGATTCCCATTTTCATTACGCAAGCATGCAATTGTTTCCCAGCATAAACAGATCCTAATCCAGCGGATGCACTGAACATCATTGCGAAAGTGCGGGAATCGGAGTCGGAAAACTCCTCCAGCATCATCTGAAACAGTCGAAACGCCTCTAGATAATTACCAAAGCCAACTAAACCCACAATAATGTTGTTGAAGGAGACCAAGTTTCTTTCAGGCATTTCATCGAACAACCTACGAGCATCTATCATCATGCCACATTTAACATGCATCAATAGGATCCTGTTCATCATGAGTTGATCCGGCTCAAACCCACTGTTAATCATATAACCGAAAACCCTTTTGACACATCGAATGGATCTCAAACCGATACATGCCGTCACCAACGCATCGTAAGTTCTAACACCGATCTGGAGACAACCTTGTATCTCCAAAATCTCAAACAATTCAAATGCCTCCCTGAACTTGTTACACAAAACTAACTTCTCTATCTGACTACAGATCCTCAAACTAGATTTCCTGATCTGGGTATCCTTCAAAACCGGATCTTCCACCTCCTCGGCGTCAACTCTATTCGGTTCTCGTTTCGGCTTCAGTTGGGGTTTGGGTTTCAGCTGCTCAACTAAAGAAGAACACACGATTCTCCCAAATGAGTTCTTCCATTTCTTCCGATTCAACGAGAATCCATATCCAGAGAACAGATATTTTCGCGGGAAATTGAAAACCTTGGGAAAAGAATACGACAACTGAAAGCTACTACTACTACAACTTTCGTGAATCTGATCCAACAAGATGCTCTGGTAACGCGCGAGTGGAATCTCCATGTTTACACTGGCAGAGTCGGAGAAAGGAGAAGATTCAGATCACATGATCATGTTTAGCTTCGGAGAACCGCGTAAAGATATTTAAGGTCCATTAACATATAGTTCAAAAAGGAACTAATTGTGTAACAAACTCCATCGGGAATTCCGCAACTGAATTTTTAATTCAATATGAACCGAAATCCGGTTCTACAGGTTACCCTTCTTGTGAAGACCGAACCAAATACACTTTGGTTTTGATTGACCGAAACGACATAGCATGCTTTCCGAGAAACAGAAAACGCCACGCATTTTTCCAGGGACCAAAACGACACAGCATGCTTTGCGAGAAACACAAACTGTCACGCAACTCCCAAGGATCGAAACGACATAGCATGCTTTGCGAGAAACAGAAAATGGCAGGCAACTTCCAAAGATCGAAACGGCATAGCATGCTTTGTGAGAAACAGAAAATGGCACGCAACTTCCAAGAACTAAAACGACATAGCATGCTTAGAGAGAAACAGAAAACGCCACGCCAACTTACAAGGACCGAAACGGCACCGTCTCCAGGCCCTGATCGTCTTACGTCTTCGTCCTGCCGCCTGGAGCCAAGAATCACTGCTACGGAAGGGAAGTGGCAAAAACCATCATCGCTTCCATTTTCTTCCTGCACTGCTTTGTTTGGTTGGATCTGATCGCGTTTCCCTGGAAGCATGAATGATGGACACGGAGATTGGAATTTCTATCTTAGAACCCTAAGCAATGGCGCGCGCGACTCCACGGATCCTGCTTCTGATCCTTCCATTCTCCAATCCGTAAGCATTTTGTCTACATAAATTGGGTGTTCCTTCATGTATGCATACGTATAATTGCTTTTTGTTTGTTTGAAATGTATGCAATTCTTCGATAATCAATGTACAACAGAGGAACGGAATGATACATGTTTTGATTATGGTTGACTTGATGCTTGAATGTCTGTCGCTTAGGTGAAGAAGCTTCATGAGCTTTGTAAATCGGAGAAATCGGATGATTTGGTGGCTAGGATTTATCCGCAGATCAATAAGCTCTTCCAGCGATCGGTGGGTTCTCTGTCTCAGTCCCAGTCCCAGTCCCAGTCCGAGACGTTTAAAGGCCTTCTCTTGTTGGTATGTTTCCCTCTTCTAAGAATTTGAAATCATTTCTGTGGAACTTAATTTTAGCGAATAACAATTACCAATGCAGATGCGTTTTTGGTGATTTCTGGTTTTAACTTGGTTCTTCAATTCAACATTTTTGGGTTTTATAGGCTATTCTTCAATTTTTTCTTGATTTCGGGGATGTAGTACTGCACGATGCTGACCCAAGTTTGAGAACATTCTTCCGAT